ATACATATAAACATACATACTTATACACAGCACTTTAAACACTGAGCTACATCGTCATCCCTTTTTATTTTGAAATAGGTTCTCACTAAGTTGCCTAGGGTAGCTTTGAACTTTCAATTCTCCTGCCTCAGCCTGTTGACTAGCTGGGATTTCAGGTGCATGTCATCATGCCTGGCTCTAATGTGCTGAGATTGTTTTGAAGTTGGTTAGAGGAGGAGACAGACACGCCCACCCAGGCTGACTAGAGGGCTGTGTTGGGCAGTGGAGGGTAGGGAAAGGAGACCCAAGTTCGAAGTAGGTGAATGGAAGTGAGGTCCACAGTCTGCAGTAGCATCCCCAGCGGGCTTGATGGGGTTCAGGAAGGGATGGCTGCCATCTGGATGTACTGACAAGCATTCCCGAGTAGCCTGTGCCAATGTGTCAGGGATAATGACAGAGTGGAGCGGGCCATGGAACTCAGCTGCAGGGAGTGTGTGTGGGGTGCCTTGGTATATAGTATGGACAGGTGGGCTGGTGGCCACATTTTCTGGAGAGGGCCTTGGATGGAGTATAAGTCTGACCTGGGTGCATGCTTTGTGCCTGTTGTGGGGTGCTTTTCCTACAGTAGCTTTGGTAAAGGGCTTCTGCACACTTTGTCTTCCTACACTTTGTTGCCAACACTTACTGTTGTTTGTATTCTTGATAACTGCCATTCTGACTGGAGTGAGATGTTTCTCCCCGAAGTTCTGTGTAATACCAGAAGAGCTGGTCTTCTAATACCCACTTACATACCTGTTCAAAGCATGCTTTTGATCCTGGCTCTGACTTAATCTTAGAATCACATTCTGGGAGAAATGTACATTGGAGGACGTTGGAGGGAGAGCACAACTTCAAAGTCAGAGGGAGATAGGGTCCAGGCCTGGCTCTCCTTTATTAGCTGTGTCCTTAGGTAGGTCATTTCACTTCTAAGCTATAGTCTGTGAATGTCCAAATGGGGTCATATGTATAATGAGGGTTGGAAACAATATAAATAATGTGGCTATTTCAATGCTTGAAACATGGAAGAAACAAAATAAAGCGTAGATGTTATTAACTTTTTTCCAGATTGAGAATCCTATCTGTGGCCTCTTTGATATAAGAAAGCCAGCACCTGCTTGCCCAGCCCCAGGGATGGGCAGCTCATCTCCTCCAGAGGGAACTCAGAAATCTTCTTCCTGAGACCCAGTTGAGGCCTGTCCCAGTTCTGTCACTGGGGCCTCAGTGCATTCTGCTCTGCAGCCCTTTCCCCAAAGAATCTTAAGAGATCTTCCTGGGAACACAGTGCTCGTCTACAATGCAAAAGCAAGACTCTGGAAGTCCTCATCCTTGTTCAAAGAGGTACATTTTAAGTTGGCTTACACAGGTCACAGAAATTCCTTCCCCTGTACTATGGAGTTTGGAACACATGAATTGTATTGTCTTCAGTCTTATTTTTCCTGGATGAACGCTCCCAATTCTTTTAAACATTCTACACAGAGGACCATTTTTCATGGAAGAATCAGGTTTTTTCCCAAATTCATCACTTCAGGGCAAGTCACTTATCTTTACTGAGTCTCCAGTTCCTCTTCCATAAAAATGAAGAAAATAATACTATTTCATAGGGGTACAGTAAAAATTAATTCAGAAAAATCATGAAAACTTAGCATTTGAATAAAGCACCTGTAAATGTTAAATATATATATTTTGGTTCTGGGGATTGAACCTGGGGTGCTTTGCCACTGAGCTGCATCCTCATACCATTTTTTTTTTTAGACACAATATCTTTATTTATTTATTTTCATGTGGTGCTGAGGATCAAACCCAGTGCCTCACACGTGCAAGGCAGGCGCTCTACCACTGAGCTACAGCCCCAGCCCCCTCATACCTTTTTATTTGGAGATATGATCTTGTTAAAACACTGAGGGTCTCACTCAATTGCTGAGGCTGGCCTCATACTTTCAATCTCCTGCCTCAGTCTCCCTAGTTACTGGGAGGCAGGGGCCAGGCCTGCCTCTCCTTTATTAGCTGTGTGACCTTGGTTGGGTAGGTAATTTCACTTCTACGTCACAGGCATGTGCTACCATGCCTAGTGAAAACATTAAAAAAAATGTCTCCAAAAAAAAGGGTGATGGTGGTATTGATGATGTAGCTCATTGGTAAAGCACCCTAGGTTTCAATCCCAAGGAATGTGGAAAAAGAAGAAAAAAAGAAAGAAATCTTTCTTTCTTTTTTTTTTTTTTTTTTTACTGTGGCGCTGAGGATCCAACTCAGGGCCTCAAGTATGCTGGGTAAGCACTCTACCACTGAGGCATACCACAAGACCCTCAAAAATCACATTTTTGAAAACATATTCAACAGGTAAGTCTGCTGATATTGCCCTTAGCTCTTTATCAAATCTCCAGGGGAAATCATTCCAGAAAGTCATTTGCTACTCTAAATGATGGCAAATCAGGCAAAGTATGACTCCTAAATAAATAAAATAAATTCCTAGGGTCTGATTACATCTCTAAAGAGCCTATTAGATTCTAGAGTTCATTTACCTTATTCTTAGATGGCACAAAGGCCCAGAGATGTCTCAGAGATCAGTGGTCTAGGCTGGATCCTAAATCTCCCAATATCCATCAACTTTATATCCCCAGTATTCACTTCCCAAGGAGGAAGCCAAAGAGAGGATGATCTCTGGGTCAGAGCAGTTGCACTAAGGACTAGGATTCAGCAAATCTTTGTTAGGCACCTGCTGTTGCAGAACACTGCATTTAGGCAAGTGCTGATACCCCTCCCTTACTAGTGAAGTGTCATTTATGGATGGTTGGTATGGGACTTAGCCCCGGTAAAGCCTAGGTTGCTTCTATCTTGCTTACCCCTATTGCCCCCAATGCCTGGCATTAAGTCTTGGCAACAGGCAGGACCCAGCAAATACCTTCTCAATGATGAATCAATGAATATTTTTTGAGTACAGAGTATGTGTTAGGTTCTGTGGTAGGAGAAACTCTAATTAACACATGCTTGTGAGGATGGTATGATATAACTCCATTTAATAAGTGAGGAAACAAAGGCTAAAACAAGGGAATGGATTATCCTGCACTGAACCAGTGGATCCCAGCCTCTATACCTCATGTCAGGGCTGTAGCTGTTGCTCTCTATAGTCCTCTGGGCTCAGGAGCCCCACCCACCTGTTCCCTTGCCCTTGGCCTTCCCTGATCTAATTGAGGACTGTGGTGGAGGGCTGATTTTTGAATAGCCTCAAGGAAACCAGAAATAGCAGGGTGTGTCTCCTAGTTTATACATAGCTCTAGATAAATCTTATTGAAGCACAGCTCTGATTCTATCACTTTCCTGCTTAAAACTCTAGATTCAGTGTAAATCACCTGAGGTCAAGTTCCACCTTCCCAATTTCTGGCCACGTGGCAGCCTGGCAAGTTACCCTTGTCTATGCAGGCCTCACTTTCCTCTTTTGCCTGAACTGCACTTCTGAGAACAATTGCCTGCAACTCCAACTTCTGAAAAAACCATGGGGGTGATTCAGCTCATTCTCCACTCAGCCCTGTGGCTCAGAGCAAGGGGAAGAGGCATTTCCACTCTTTTCAGGACCCAAGAAGGCTGACACCCGGGCCTGCAGATAGTCTGGACAGAGCACGACGGTGAGTGGGAGGACACTTCCTAGATAAGCATCCTCATTGGTAGATGAGCCACCCTAAGTTCACTCAGTCAAGGGCAGGCAGAGTGAACTGAGGACACTCAGAGGTCCTCACTCCCAAACAAGGGCCGTGGGGTTTCTTTTATGTACCCTACTGCCTCTTCTACTTTACCCTATGTTGCTCACCCACCACCTCTTTCCTTCTTCCTTCCCTCCTTTCCCTTCTTTTTGGAGATCAACCTAAGGCCTCAAACATATTAGGGCAAGTGCTCTACTACCAAGCTACACTCTCAGCCCCTGTATCTTTTTCTTTAAATATTTATTTTTTAGTTTTAGATGGACACTATCTTTACTTTTATGTGGTGTTGAGGAGCCAACCCAGTGCTTCATTTCTACTTCTGCTGTGACCTTCGGAGAGTCTCCACTTTTCTTCAGATACTTGCCTTCCCATTGTGACACGGTAGAAAAATGTCTTTTAGACTGCTCTGCTCCCTTTCAGCAGAGTCCCGATTGTCTTGTAGTAGACAGCGTTTTCTCTTTTGCAGAGCAACCGCTTACTTCTGTACTTCCCACCCCAAATCGCAACGGACTGGCACCTGTAGCCAGTTGTAAAAGGATTTGTCCATGCTCAACCCCTTGTGCACAATTAGCTGGCAGGTAAAGAGGGATGTGAGTAGCCGAGAGGAAGCAAAAAAATAAATCTCTCTTGCCATGGGCATACCGGGCCCCTTCCCATTGTAAAAACCTCCCTACGAGCGTCTCCCCCCACCATTCCTTTACCCGGACACAAACGCTCAGCTAAAGCCGGCAGGAGGTGGGGGCGGCCTGTGCGCGTGCGTCGGCGCAGGGCCCTCTCCCGCCCACGTGCGCGCCCCCAGCTGGAGGCGCGCGCCGCGGCGAGCTGGCGGGAAAGCGCGCGGGAAGCCCCCGGCAGACTCCCGGTGTGGGGGAGGGGGCTGGAGGCGTTTGGAACGTGCCACTCACGGAAAGAAATAGGGGAATTTTCGCGCTCCTCTAGAGTTTCTACCTCTCCCATCCTCCGACCAATCCGTTAGTTCCCCCCGTCCCCCATCATGATACGGAGCCCCGCGCCGCGGCCTCGCGCCCCCGCTGCAGCCTGGCGGGGCCAGCTAACCTGATGGTGCTGGACTAAGCGGTTCCCTCCTCCGCCGGAGCGGGGCGCTGCGCCGCGCGGTGGGGCCGGAAATTCCCGCGGCCTGAGTGGTGGAGCCCTAGCAGGGAGCGCGGCGCCGCCTTCCTCCTCCCGGGGCCGGGCGGGGGCGTTGGGCACCGCGAGGGCCGGGCTGCCGGAGTGGGTGGGGTTGGGGGCCGCCGCGTCCGCCTGGAGCACGGGAGCAGGCGGCAGGCGGGGAGAGCGGGCGACGCGGCAGCACCCTACCAGAGGCTGGACTAGTCGGGAGACCCTAGCGCCCCTGCTCCTGGCCTCCGCCCCCTCGTGGTCTCCGCCTCCTTGTCTCACACACCCCCCGGGCCGCCGGGCCCCAGGCCTTCCCGGCGCTCCTCCTTCCTCTCTTCATACTCGCTCTGGCCGGGGTCCTCTTGCTGCCTGCTGGCCTTGCTGCTTCTGGGGCGAGTCCTCCTCCTTGGGCTCTCCTTTCTCTCTCTCTCTCTGTCTCTCTCTCTCTCTCACACACACACACACACACACACTCGTGCCCTTGCTCTCTGGGCCACCCCTTCCTCTCCAGCCCTACTCATCTCTTCCTTGCTAACGCCGCCGTCGGGGGAGGATTGATGTCCCTTCAGCATCATGCAGCCACCGCCGAGAAAGGTAAGGGCGCAGCCGTGGAGCTTTGGGGTTCGGGAGGGTATGCGTACTAGGAATGCGGCTGGGGCGACCGCTGCGCCCCCTCCCCCTCCCCGCAAGGGGCCGTGACCGCTTTCGCCTCTGGCTTGTCACGGAGTTGCCGCTGGTTCCAGGCGGGTGTTTGTGGGAGGGCGTGTGTGAGGTGCCTTTCCAATCGAGGGACTGCCGGGGTTCGTCTCCTTCACTGCACTGAAGATGCCCCCAGACATTTTACAGGAGTTTCGGGTGTGCATTTGTATGTGTGCGCCTGCATGGCAGTGCTGCCCGCTGCAAAGTGCATTCTCGGGGCGCATTGAGGGGAGGCGGGGGAGCCCCTGCAGATTTGCAGAGCCTTGTGCGTGTGTGATTGTTTAGTCTGAACCAGGTTTGAGCCCTCCAGCCGCTTGTCGCCACCCCCGCCCTTTTGCAGATTTGCGGGGGATTTGTTTCAAGCCTAGTCCAAAGGTTTGGCCTGGTTTTCCCACGGGGCTGCCGAAAAGAAGTTGGAATAGTCATAGCCCTCCCACTCTAGGGAAAAGCAAATTAAGAATTGATGGATCCTGTTTTTCTACCCCCACCCTTTCCACGAGGTTCTTGCCCCGCCCCCAGCCAGGGGGCAAGGAGGCGGTGGCATTGCCCCCAGGAAGGCAAGAACCGAACCCTTGACAGTGCACTGTGCGTGGCGTGTGCACTTAGATCTGGCCTTGGATAGTCAGGGTGGGAGTGACGAGTGTTCTTGGCTTGTCAGCAGCTTCCCGCTGCGCCCTTCTCTGGCTTTTCCAGTGGCCGAGGCTGTGTCCTTGTCTTTTAAATTCTGCACATGGGTACTGAATGTCTTCTGTGGACACTGGGTGGAGGAGGCCATTCTATCCTCCTCTCGTGGGCAAACATTTGCTGAATGCCTAACTCTTCCGTGTCTTCTTTCTCTTTCTTAATCCGGGATCAGTTAAGTGAGACCTTTTCTTTTGCACATGTACTCCCACTCCTCTGGGTAGCCTCGCTCCAGCGGCCAGGATTCCACGATTGTAACCTCGAACCCTGAGGTCCGGCCTGGCAGGCTTGGAGGCTCTGGCCCGCTGGCATTTGCGGTTCTAGCTGTTTAAAGTGGAGCCTTCACCCGGCCTGGCTTGCTGGGTTAGTTTAAAAGCACTGCATATGTTGGAAGGTCACTTTTGCTTTCTTCTTTGTGAGATTGTGATTTGACGCGCTGTCAGCGAGTGGAGGGCATCATCCTGAGACAGTGTGCTTTCTTGCAGCCATTATGGAATAATTTATGTAGTTTGATTCATGCATATTATTTCATGATTGTATAAACTTCGGTCATTAGGTATTAGGTACTCTTATGCTCTCCTCTCCCATCTACACTCTGCTCACTTCTCCTGGTGGTTAATGTCTGAATCTTTTTTGGAAGAAATAGAAGACTGGCTCTTTTAAAACTGTTAGAGGACCTAGGTATGTACTGAGCTTGTGCATGAAATAGAATGGCAGTTTATTTTTCATCTTTTTATAATTTTATACCAGTGTATTTTCATTCAGCCTGTTACAGGTCATTTGACTACCTTTTTATTAAATAAATGTCTTTAATAATGAAGCTAGATGGCAAGTAGTGGGTTTATGTTCTTTAGGGAGAGAAAAGTAAGAGGTGTATATATTCTGACAAATATTAAAGAGTTTTTCTTAATTTTTTTTTGTTCAAGTTGTAGTATGGCCTTAATAAATATATGGTGTATTTTAGGTGAAAGTAACACAAGAACTGAAAAACATTCAAGTTGAGCAGATGACAAAACTTCAAGCCAAACATCAAGCAGAATGTGATTTGCTTGAAGATATGAGGTAAGGTTGTAGTAAATAGTTTGAGAACTTTAAAAAAATTATTTTTAGTTGTAGATGGGCTTAATACCTTTATTTTATTTGTTGCTGAGGATCGAACCCTGTGCCTCACACGAGCTAGGCAAGTGCTCTATAACTGAGCTACAGCCCCAGCTCCTAGTTTGAGAACTTCCATATCTCTTTTTCAAAGAACCTTTGAGTTGCCAACCCTGTTTGGATCTACTGATGGAATTTCCTTTTGGATTTCCTGTTTTAAGGCTGTTAGAACTTTGACTCAGCTGGAAATTATAACTGGAACTAACACAATACAAACTTTTTCCCTGTAGTGTAGGAACCTATAATGTACACATACTATTATGAAAAAAACAAGGGCCTTAAAAGTCTGTCAGTCAAATTATAATTATTGAAGTAAAAATTCTTACTTATGTCTTTCCACTGAATTGTAACAATTATTCACTGTATAATTTTACACAGATTTTTAAATCAACTCCTATGGTTAATGGTTAATATCTGGGGTGAACCACTCAACCCCTGATGATTAGATACTAGCACTGTTTGTTAAACATGACACATATAACTGTCTTTGAATGTTAAACTTAATGAGAACTATGTTTTCAATTTATTTTATAATTAAAGTTACTTATTTATAATCAAGATAACTTAATTTAATAGATAAGACATCTTAACTAACATTGTGAAAATTAGTATCTTTCCTTACAGAGTGAAGCATGACTTATTGAAAGAAACGCACTTCCCCTCTTCTTTTTTTTAACAATCCTATAGTAAAAACTGACAGTTCGACAGATACTTTTGTAAGGGATAGAAGATGATTTGCATATTGAAATGGTGGTTGCAGTTCTTATTTCACTTTAGTAATATAATTATCAAATTGCAGTTGGATCTATAAGCCTCATCAATTGCCTAACTTTATGTTGGTTTCATAAAAAAATACTAACTAGATAATATTATGATAAAGTATATTTGTTTGGAATTGCTAATAGCCCAAAGATTTTAGTTTAAGGTGTTTCATTTTTTCCTTTTCCATATTTACCTTATGTACTGTTTATGAACATTTCAGCTATATACCTGTTCTTTTAGGGTTTCTGACTAAGGCATATAAATCTATTCTCATCTCTCTTGGATTCACCAACATTGTTGTTTTTCCAACTGAAAAGTACTGTATTTTGTGGTACTGAGGATTGAACCCGGGGCATTTTACCACTGAGCTATATTCCTAGAGCTGGTTTTTTTTTTGAGACAGTTATTTCTGAGTTGCCCAGGCTGGCCTCAAACTTGTGATTCTCTTGCCTCAGCCTCCCAACTAGTTGGGATTACAGGTATGTGCTACCACACCTGCTCACAAGGAAATTTTTAAATTTAAAAATTCCTGTGTAAGATATCTGAAGCTAGCTGGGTGCAGTGGCCCATACCTATAATCCTAGTGGCTCAGGAGGCTGAGGCAGGAGGGTTAAGATCGTGAGTTCATAGCCTCAGCAACAGTGAGGCCCTATCTAAATAAAATACATAAAAGGGCTGGGGATGTGGCTCAATGGTTGAGTGTGCCTCAGTTCAATCCCCAGTAAAACCTGCCCCCCTCCCCCCCCAAAAAAAAAAAGATATCTAAAGTTTTATCATGGTCTTAAACATTTGTAAGTAAGTATATGAAGAAGATACTTTAATTGAAATCTCTAGATGAAGGAAGTAATCAATTTTCAGAAGCATTTCAGGTAGGCAACTTTAGTGTATAAGTGAAGATCCTGTGTTGGGTGTGGGTGGTCATGGCCATTAAGTCCTATTGATTTTCTCTTCTAAAAACTTCCTGATTACTCTTTTCTCCTATTGCCTGTACCTTGGTGCAGGAGCTTATAGTCAAGAATATGGACATGGCAGACAGCTCTGGGTTTGTTTCTAGGCCTTGTCACCTACTAAGGTGTTCTGACTTCTAAAATATCTTCATTTTTCTACACTTAAGTTGCCCCATTTGTAGAATGGGGCAGTTGTGGCCTTTATTCAGAAGGGTTGTACAGATCAAATGACTGCATGTAGATGTGGTATATGTTAAGCTAAGTTGAGTTAGATTTTCACTTTTGCTGCTGCTGTTTAATTGTTTGTATTATTGCTGATCCATGATATTTTGGCCACATTATTACAATAATATTCTAATTACCAGCAGTGTCCTTATATCTTCCATCCCCCAACCTCTCCTTTTTAATGTCTTTCATATTGTTATCAGTTAGCCATCAGTTATTTTATTATATATTAGCTCTCTGTGTACTTCTGGATAAAGGCCCATCACCTTGTCATAACATACATGATGCTCAGCAACCTAGTTGCAAGGTTTCCTTACTAAGTTACGTGGGCATGTTTCATGCCCATGCAACCTTCCTTTTTTATTCCTCCTACTTTGGCTCTTTAAGACATCTGCTAATCTAGTTGTGTGTTGTCTGTCTTTGTTTGCTGTTCCCTCTGCCTGTTAATACCCTTCCTCCCACTTTTTCACATGGCAAATGCTATTACTACCTCTGTAAATTATTCTCTGTGGTCTCAAAGGAGTTTGATTTTTCACATGTTTCTGGCTTCTCCCACCTTGTGAATTCTTTGAAGTTAGAGGTTAAATCTTACTCTTTTTTTTTGGTACTGGGGATTGAAGGCAGATGTGCTTTCCCACTGAGCTATGTCCCCAGCCCTTATTATTTTTTATTTTGAGGTAGGGTTTCATTAAGTTGCTTAGGGCCTTGCTAAGTTGCTGAGAATAGTCTTGAACTTGTGATCATCCTGCCCCAGCTTCTCAAGTCATTGGGATTACAGGCTTGCCCCACTGCACTTGGCTTATTTTTAGTCTTTGTACCTTTAGTTTGGAATGGCAGAATTGTCAAGTGAATATAACTGTATTTAAATGTACTTTATTCAGCCTTGAATGGTGACACATACCTATAACCCCAGTGAATTGGAAAGCTGTGGCAGGAGGATCACAAGTTTGAGGCCAGCCTCAGCAACTTAGCCTAGACTTTGTCTCAAAATAAAAAGGATTGGGGTATAGCTAAGTGGTAAAGTGCCCCTGTGTTCAGTTCTCAGTACAGGAGAAACCATATTTGTTCTTAGGTGGGATATTTTATAAGCCATTTGTGGAGGACTATAGTAGGGTATCCTTGAGTTTGTAAAGATACAATGGGACAAAAAGGAAGAGAGAGACCTATACTCATGCTTTAGTAGGTTAACACAGTATTCCATTCAAAACATTATGGGAAGCCAGGCATGGTGGCACATATCTACAATTCCAGACAAGATGATCACAAATTCAGGGCCAGCCTTAGCAACTTAACAAGACTCTGTCTCAAAATAAAAAGACTAGGGATATAATTCAGTGGTAAAATTGCCTCTGGGTTATATCCTAATATCCAAAAAAACTACATGAGAGAGCTAGGATGTAGCTCAGTGGTAGAGTGCTTGCCTGGTGTGCACAAGGCCCTGGTGTTGATCCCCAATACCCTCCCCCCCACCCCCACATACCTATATGGGAGTGTCAGGCACATTATTGCACACCTGTAATCCCAGCAATTCTGGAGGCTGAGGCAGGAGGATCACAAGCTCAAGCCCAGCCTTGGCAATTTAGCAAGACCCTGTCTCAAAATAAAATAAAAAGGGCTGGGGATGTAGCTCAAAAATAGTGCCCCACTGGGTTCAATCCCCAGTACTACCAAAAAAAAAAAAAAAAAGGGAGTGAACTGAACAGAAAAACATATTTGACTCCTTTTAAAAAATTCTGCTAGTCCCTTAGAGTACCATCAATCTCTTAAATTTTTATTTTACTTATAAATAGATACATTCTATATCAAATAGTACAGTATATTTACCATGCCCTCATGAACTTAAATTCTTAGGGTCTGCTATGTTATGGTATGCTTTATAGTTTGACACATTGTGAAATAAGGGTTGCCATGCCATGTGTTATCAAATGTAGCTACATAATTCAGCTTTGTAGAAACAAGCCCCTTTGTTTATAAAAAAAAAAAAAAAAAAAAAGCCACCCCCCATCCCCCCATTACACAGAGCAAATGAAAATGCTGAAATTTTTCTATGGTTTCATGTGATGGGAAAGGCTCTATATTTCCTTTTTAAAAAATTTTTTAAAAAAAGTTTATTTTTTAGTTATACACAATACCTTTACTTTGTTTATTTATTTTTATGTGGTGCTGAGGATCGAACCCAGGGCCTCATGCGTGCTAGGGGAGCACTTTACCGCTTAGCCACAACCTCAGCCCTATATTTCCTTTTGTGGAAATACTACACCTTATTGACTGTTACAGCTGTGCCTATGAATATCCTTAAATATACATTTTATAGAAATGTTTCAACTCCACAATAAGGAACTAAGAAATGATTATTTTTTGCTGCCAACAAACTATAAACGATGAAATATACTTCAAATAAGCAAGACAGTTGTTTGTCTTGTAAAAATTTTCATTAGGTAGGCAATTACTCATTTTGTTATACTAGGATTTTAAATCATTAATGGAATACTTTATGTATATATGCTATATTGGTTATATATACATAATTTTGGCTTGCATTTGTAAGAAAAATTTTTGAAATTGATGTCCAAAAGAGCAGCAATGTTAATCTCAAACATACCCAAGTAATCATCTACTTGTTTTTCCTATTTTATTTTATTTTTTGGTGCTGGGGATTGAACCCAGGGCTTTGCAGATGATAAGCATGGTCTGTTCTACTGGGCTACACCCTCACATTTAAAATACTTTGCAATTGAAACTAGATTAATAAACTGATTCTAGATTGATGCAATATAAGCAAGCAGCTGTTTGTGGATAGAGAAATGATAAAGGCCAAAGATGTCTTATGCAGAAATACACTGTACAGAGTGCTTTAGTTTTAACATATCTACCTTCATTCAAGCCCCAAGTTCCATTCAGAGCATTTAAAGATAGTGAAATGTCAGCTAAGGAGGTTTGTTTACTTTTTTCTTTTTTTGGTACTAAGGATTG